TTTTTTTTTGAGATGGAGTCTCACTCTGTCGCCAGGCTGGAGTGCAGTGGCACGATCTCGGCTCACTGCAATCTCTGCCTCCCAGATTCAAGCAATTCTCCTGCCTCAGCCTCCAGAGTAGCTGGGACTACAGGCATCCACCACAACGCCTGGCTAATTTTTGTGTTTTTAGTAGACACAGGGTTTCACCACGTTGACTAGGATGGTCTCAATCTCTTGACCTCATGATCCACCTGCCTCAGCCTCCAAAAGTCCTGGGATTTCAGGGGTGAGCCACCGCGCCTGGCCCCCATTTTTCAAAAGAGGTAACTGACTCACAGAAACCAAGCTTAACCACTGGAGTGTACTGCTATTTAAAGATGCCTGATGACAGTGTGGTTTGAATTTCCAAACCCAGAATAAATATGGAACTAGCTGCCCCACTCTCAAGATCAGAGCTAAAACCACTCACTATTCTTTTGCTTTCTCTTTCCCTCTCCCTATTGTGTTCTATTTGTTTCTTGGAATAGACTGTATTTATATTACTATACTTTGGACAAGCTTCCCGGTCTCTTAGCCAACTTCTCTCCCCTCACCCAGCTGTCCCCCAGCTCTGCTTACGAGAAGAACACATGGTACACCAGGTCCTGACGAGGTGAACGGGTGTAGTCTGAGAAGAAGTAGACACCAGTCACAGCAAAAATGTAGAAGAAGATGAGCAGCAACATCAAGAGGAAGGTCATGCTCTAGAGGGCATAACCTCAAGTCAAATGTGGGCCAGACTAGGCTGATTTCCACCAACAGCCCAGTCAAGCCTACCTGGCAATCCCACACCAAACCCTCCCTTGTACCCCGAACCCAGTCATCTCTGAATCACAGCACCTGTCCCCAGCCCCTTCTCATCCAATAACATATCACAGGACGTTTCATTGCCTTCTTTGACCCATCAAGATTTGTTTCATACATATATATATATATTTTTTAGACGGAGTCTCACTCTGTCGCCTAGGCTGGAGTGCAGTGGCACAATCTTGGCTCACTGCAACATCCACCTCCTGGGTTCAAGCTATTCTTCTGCCTCAGCCTCCTGAGTAGCTGGGATTACAGACAAACACCACCAAGCCCGGCTTTTTTTTATTTTATTTTTTTGTATTTTTAGTAGAGACGGGGTTTCACCATGTTGGTCAGGCTGGTCTAGAACTCCTGACCTCGTGATCCGTCCCCCTCGGCCTCCCAAAGTGCTGGGATTACAGGCATGAGCCACTGCACCTGGCCGACTTGTTTCACATTCTAGGTTAAGCCCTCACATTTATCTACCATGCCCCCTGCTTTAGCTTGCAACAGTCAAATCACCTTGAGGGCCCTGACCAGGACCAAAATAATAACTCGAATTTGACGGAATTGTGCAAGGAGTTTGAGAGACCTCAGCACCCGGCAGATCCTCAGAAGCTGAAGCCACACCGATTGGCCTGTTACCCCTACCAATACCACAACCTCGGGAAGCAGGGACTGTGGAAAATACACAGATTATGAGTAAAATACACCCCAAGGCACGCAGGCACAGTTGCACCTTCTTCATCTCATCCTCTTCATTGTTCCCTGGGCATTATCCCTTGAACAGCATTCTCTGAGAATTGTTTCCTATTCAGCCTTTCTATATTAAGTTGCTTAAACACTGTACTTCAACTTGTTCAGATATAAAAAGGAGGATAAAATTCATGGTTATTTAATTGGGTTGTCCTGGAGCATAAATGAGGTAATGTAAGGAAAATACTTAAAATAGTGCCTGGCACTTAATAAGTGCTCAGTAACAGGCAGATGTTCTTGTTGGCGTTGACGTTGTGGTCTACCTTGCTCCTAATACCAACAACTCCTGCAATGACTGATGTTTAGTTTTAGGAAAAAAAATCAAAAGAAGGAAGTTAAGTCAATTTTTGTTTCCTCCTATTACCATGTTAACTTTTCTTGTCCTTTCGATTCACCTAGGCACATTCCTCATCCCACTAAAGGAACCCTCAGGATCTCTATCCTTACCAACATGGTAACAACAAAGTCAAAGACATTCCAGCCACTCTTCCAGAAAAGGGAAAAGTTGGATAGCCACTTAAGAAGGATCTCCAGGATGAAAATAAGCAAGATAAACCAAGCTGCCACCTCCAAAGTCAGCTTCAATGGCCATAGTTTGGTATTTGTGGATTCCAGCAATTCTGTGAGGATAGAGCAAAGGAGGAATAAAAGTTAAGGAAGCTGGAAACCGAATGATGGAGAATGATCACACTTAATAAACCACAGTTTTGCCCACTACTGTTCCATTTTTCTTTGTTTCTCTTCTTAACATTGTTGCTTCTACCTGTGAAATACAGGGAAGGACAGAATTGACCATAAAACATAGCCACAACTAATCTGTTGATATAGTTATGTCTCCCCAGCTACAAGTCACTTCCTATCCACTGTGGGGGTCACACAGCCACTAAGAGAATACTCTCTTTAATTACCCCTACCTCCAACCCACCACCCCCATCTACTGCACTGTTATCTCAGTTCCAAAGTTCACAAGAAAACAATGGGTCTTGAGAACAGAATGAAAATACAGGGCCATGAGATCTGAAGTACTTTATAACGAATGCAGAAACAAGCCAGAATCATTGGGGTATATCAAACTATAACAATAAATCACTTGGTTCTGTTAGCTTCCTTTGAAAACTTTTCCTTTCTTCCCTGCCTAAAATTGGTTTTGTTCTGCAGAGCAAATTGAATGCATACTTCCTCTCTAGAACCCTATTATTTACTAATTGCTATTCCTTAATTCATTGCCTTTCTCTTTCAACCTCTTTCATCTCTTTTATACAATTGATGTATGCCATACTCTGGAAAAAAACGCTGAGATTAAAATAGGCTTAAGAGCTAAATAGAAATCAACATTGTGGTGCTCTGGCTTTAAAGTCATCCTGATGCTGAACTGGATCCAGACAAAAAGAACATAGTCATACTTCAATCATCCCTAGAATTTTACAGAGGTTGGCCCCTTCTAAAAACCAATGGAGTTATGTTATACTTATTCCTATGCTTGTTTTGAGACAGTCTCACTCTGTCACCCAGGCTGGAGGAGCGCAGTGGCATAATCATGGTTCGCTGAAGCCTCGATCTTCCAGGCTCAAGAGCCTCTGGGTAACTGGAACCACAGGCACATGTCACCATGTCCAGCTGATTTTCTCTTTAAATTACTTGTAGAGATGGGGTCTCCCTAGGCTGCCCAGGTTGGCCTCAAACTCCTGGGCTCAAGTGATCCTCCCGCCTGGTCGCCCAAAGTGCTGGGGTTATAGGCATGAGCCACTTCGCCCAGCACTCCTATGCTTATTTAGGCTCTGTGCTGCTTTCGAAAGTTTTTCTTTCACACACATTTCTCCAAAATGGACAATTGTTCACATTTTATCATCCATGAAGTTAGGATGCTTTTTTTTTTTTTTTTTTTGAGACAGAGTCTCTGTTGCCAGGCTGGAGTGCAGTGGGATCTTGGTTCACTGCAACCTCCGCCTCCCGGGTTCAAGCAATTCTCCTGCCTCAGCCTCCCGAGTAGCTGGGACTAAAGGCGTGTGTCACCATGCCCAGCTAAAATTTGTATTTTTGGTAGAGATGGGTTTCACCATGTTGGCCAGGATGGTCTCCATCTCTGGACCTCGTGATCTGCCCGCCTCGGTCTCCCAAAGCGAGGATGCATTTTACAATCAGCGATGTGTCCCAGTTTAATTGGGCATGACTTTTATTTCTTAGTGGTAAATAGTGAATTTCTCCACTGATGACAGCTTAGATTCAATAATATACAAAACTTTTTCACTTAACAATAAATTCTAGCTCTCAGGAGTATGGAATTATGTAATTAGAAAGAGGTGAGGACCACATTTGTGGCTGGAAAATAGAATGCTATCATTTTTATTCAGTTTTTGCCCTTGCAAAACAGGAACCCAAAGAAAGAAATGAAGTAAAATAAGGCTCTTGTGAAGCAGAAGATAGTTTTAAGTACCTTAAAATAGTTTAAGTAGGGAAGTCCAAATTACAGAGGCAGTAGCACTTTTACTCTCTGGAAAAAGGAATACTTTCATAGAAGCTAAACGAACCCAAGGAAGGTCAGAGGAACGAATAGCAGAAATTGCCTCAGCAGCACAGAATATGCAAAAGTGACTGCCTCCACTCTACATCAAGTAATGTGTCCTCTCTGAAGATGAAAAACAACTTTCTAAAATTCTTGGAATTTTTCAGGCTGCTATAGCAAGGCAAAGGAGTCTTAATGGAAATAGAGACCAGGAGCCCAGTGAAGTCTACCCAGGAATCTTAGCCAGTGTAGTGAAGTAGCAGTGAACATCTATGCTTGAATATTCTTCTCAGGGTGATAGACAGTAGTCATTGGATCAAACAAGTCAGGCAAATATATAATTCTGCTTTACAGGGTAAAGTTCACCATGAACAGTCATCTATTTCTACTCCCTATTCTAGAAAAACAACAGTAGGTCACCTCACAGAATACCAGGTAAATTCACATTGGTATCAGGGAGTCCAATATTATAGGTGAGGAGAATAGTACACTATAACAACAAACTGATACGTAGATTTTGACATTTACACAGTTTTAATATTTTTAGTAATGTTTTGGCTAGCTATACCCATCATGAAGCAAGAAACACTGATGTTGAAACATAATTTCTTTTTTTTTTTTTTGAGATGGATTGTCACTCACTCTGTCGCCCAGTTGCCATCTCAGCTCACTACAAACTCCACCTCCCGGGTTCAAGAGATTCTCCTGCCTCAGTCTCCTAAGAAACTGGGACCATAGGTACGTATCACGATACCCACTGATTCTTGTATTTTTAGTAGAGACAGGGTTTCACCATGTTAGCCAGATTGGTCTTGAACTCCTGACCTCAAGTGATCCGCAGGACTAGGCCTCCTAAATTGCTGGGATTACAAAGTGTGAGCCACATGCCCAGCCAGAAGTACAATTTCATGAAGAGCATTAAGAATGATAACTCTGCAAGTTTAATCTCAAGATGATCTTCAACAGATTCTACAAATTCCATTCATTTGACCAAAAACTTTAGATAGCACATCAAGCCATCTCTAGGACTTTAAAAGTCAATGTAAAAAATGGTCATCTTCAGGAATATGCCCACCTTTGGGAAAAAATTGTAATGATATTATACTTAGGTTTTATTTTATTTTATTTTTGAAATAGGGTCTTGCTCTGTCACCCAGGCTACACAGTACACTGGTGAGATCATAGCTCACTGCAGCCTCAATCTCCTGGGCTCAAGTGATCCTCCCACCTCAGCCTCCCAATATAGTCAGTTTTTAATTTTAAGCAAGGATTGTCTATACTTGGGATGTGTTATTTTCTGACAAAGGCTTGCAAATGAGTCAAAACTTTTCTTCTTTCTCATTATTTAGAAACAAAATATGAGATTTTAAAAATAAGCCAATTGATGTTTAAAGTGCAAAACAGAATTACCAATATCCAGTTCTGGAAGTAGATTTGTTAAAGCCCTAATGGTTTAGGTCACTTTGTGATCTGGAAAAAAAAGTTTAAGCCTAAAAAACGTATTAATGTTTATCACATCAATTAGTCTGTTCAAAGAAATCTGTTAATCACAAATCATTTCCTTTTGCAAAATCCCTCCTCCCTCTCTACCACAAGAATAAGCTTAATAAGATAAAATTTCCATGAGCTTGACAGGTAATTTCCAGTCGGGCAATCTACTTATCCTCTGGCACTGTGATCATGTTGCATATTCAGTTAACTGTTTTACCAAATAGAATGGTTAGTGCTATTCTATTTTGATTTGTCTATTAGATCTAGGGCAGGGGTCCCAAGCCCCAGGCTACTGGCTGGTACCAGTCTATGGTCTGTCAGGAACTCGGCCATGTAGCAGGAAGTGAGTGGTGGGTGAGTGAGCATTACCGCCTGGGCTCCATCTCCTGTCAGATCAGCTACGGCATTAGATTCTCATAGGAGTGCGAGCCCTATTGTGAACTGCAGGTGCATGACCCTTAGCAGAATCTAATGCCTGATGATCTGAGGGGAAACAGCTTCATCCTGAAATCATCCCTCCTACCCCATCCATGGAAAAACTGTCTTCCAAGAAACCAGTCCCTGATGCCAAAAAGGCTGGAGACCACTGATCTAGGGAATCCTGTATATTTACTATTATTTACTTCATTCCAAGGCTTAGGACTATAATCCTAGCCATACAAGGCAAATACATGGCAGCAATCATACAATAAAAGGCAATTATAAGTGACTTAGTTCAGAATCTTCAACATTATGAGGAAGAAATAAAACACCTCAAAGTATATAGTATACTGTACTGGGTCAGTGACATCAATTGTTGTTGTATATTTAAATATCTTGGACCTCACTACACTAAAGGACTATCTTATTTTTTTTGAGACAGGGTCTCACTTTGTCACCTAGGCTGGAATCCAGTTGCACGATGGCTCACTGCAACCTCCACCTCCCAGGCTCAAGCAATCCTCCCACCTCAGCCTGCTGAGTAGCTGGGACTACAGGCATGTGTCACCATGCCTAGCTAATTTTTGTATTTTCTGTAGAGATGAGGTTTCTCCACATTAGCCAGGCTGGTCTCAAACTCCTGAGCTCAAGCGATCCTCCTGCCTCAGCCTCCCAAAGTGTTGGGATTACAAGCATGAATCACCATGCCTGGGCCCCAGAGATGAGCTTGTAGGGGATTTGGACCTAGAGGCAGAGTTCTGAACTGGCTACAGGCACTGGACATTTCTGTTGAGGAAATATCTGTGTGACATAAACAGCCAAGAGCTTCATAACTATGCCCTTCTCTTTTTTTTTTGAGATGGAGTCTCGCTGTGTCTCCCAGACTGAAGTGCAGTGGCGCAATCTCGGCTCACTGCAAGCTCCACCTCCCCGGTTCACACCATTCTCCTGCCTCAGCCTCCCGAGTAGCTGGGACTACAGGCGCCCGCCACCACGCCCAGCTAATTTTTTGTATTTTTAGTAGAGACAGGTTTCACCGTGTTAGCCAGGAGGGTCTCAATTTCCGGACCTCGTGATCCACCCGCCTCGGCCTCCCAAAGTGCTGGGATTACAGGCATGAGCCACCACGCCCGGCCTGCCCTTCTCTTAAAAATTCTTCCTAGGCTGCACACGGTGGTTCACGCCTGCAATCCCAGCACTTTTGGGAGACTGAGACATGAGGGTCTTTTGAACCCAGGAGTTCAAGACAGCCTGGGCAACATAGTGAGATCCTGTCTCTACAAAAAAAAAAAAAAAAAATCAACATAATTAGCCTGGTGTAGTGGCATGCACCTGTAGTCCAAGCTACTCAGGAGGCTGAGGGGGGAGGATCAATTGAGCTCTGGAGTTCGAGGTTGCAAGGAGCCATGATCACACCACTGCATTCCAACCTAAGCAAAAAAGTGAGACTCTGTCTCTAAAAAATACAGTGGGAGGCTTCCCCACAACAGTGAGAATTAAACAAGTGAGTAGTTTTACTGTCCTTTTATCATTTCTGAGCAGTTTGAGATTATCAACAAATGAGCTCGCTGATTTTGCAGACATCCTTATATTTTGAATATGCTTCATATAATTTATTATTGGTTTCAGAATCATTTCCTTTTTAAGTAATTTTTTTGGCTCAGCTAATATCTTAGTTGTACCTACCTTTCCATACTTTGTAAGCTTTCTTATTTGTACTTAATCTTTCTAAATACACTTGTAAAAATGTAAATATTAGATCATTCAGTGATAGGCACCAATATCCTTAACAGAAAAGGTTAATTCAAACAAATGTCAGCCTAAACTGACAACAGAAATACAACAGGTCTTCCCAAGTTCAGTTCCGTGTGGATTTGTTACATTGCTACATATTACACCTAGTATTAATGTGTCTAGATATTCTGTCTAGTATACTCTTGAGAGCCCTCCAAATACTAATATTTCTTTTTTTTTTTTTTTTGAGATGGGGTGTAGTGGCATGATTTCAGCTCACTGCAACCTCCGCCTCCCAGGATCAAGCGTTCTCCTGCCTTAGCCTACTGAGTGGCTGGGATTACAGGTGCCCGCCACCATGCCCAGCTAATTTTTTGTATTTTTAGTAGAGACAGGATTTCAGCATGTTGACCAGGCTAGTCTTGAACTCCTGACCTCAATGATCCAATCACCTCAGCCTACCAAAGTGCTGGGATTACAGGCATGAGCTATCACGCCCAGCCAATATTTCTAGATTTTAGCAGTTGAATAAATCCTACTCCAGGAGGCTTAATATAACTGTCCCTATCACAATTCAAATGACATTCAAAAATGTAAAATGATCAATTTAGAAAAAAAAAATTTCTCCTATCCACTTCCTTTTTTTTTTTTCTTTTTTGATAGAGTTGCACCCTGTCACCCAGGCTGAAATGCAGTGGCACAATCTCGGCTCACTGAAACCTCCGCCTCCTGGGTTCAAGCAATTCTCCTGCCTCAGCCTCCCGAGTAGCTGGGACTACAGGTGCGTGCCACCACGCCTGGCTAATTTTTTGTATTTTTTAGTAGAGACGGGGTTTCACCATGTTGCCCAGGCTGGTCTCGAACTCCTGAGCTCAGGCAATCCGCCTGCCTTGGCCTCCCAAAGTGCTAGCTAGGATTACACGCATGAGCCACCACGCCTGGCCTCACTTCTTTCACACAATGTCAGTTCTCACCTATTTCAACCATCAATACGATCGTATTCAAAAAGATCAGGAAGATGATGAAGTTTTTGAAGAGAGAACCTGTTGTCTCTTAAGGAAACGTATAGAGTGGAGTTCTTTCTGATTTATGCAGCTGAAATAATAAGGGTAATAACATAAGCCGTGAGAATGAGAAAATGGAGTTTGGGGAGCAAAAATAAGTCATTAGGCAGATCATCAACAGCCAGGACAAAAATGAGTGACGTGAAAGGATACACTCAAGGACCCATCCGGCCCACAAAGAAAGAGGTGGCCTCTGACTGCAGCGCACATGAAGCTTGCTCAACAGCCTCTGGGCATGTGAAATCTGTCCTATACGTTGAGGCTTTATAGAGAAGTGCACTAGCTGGTGTTGATCTCCCAACGTAAGTTTCTTCTGGCGGGAAGGATCTACAACAAAAATTAAAAAGGGATAGTGGATAAAGACAAAGAAAATAGAGCAGGTAGGGTTGGGGGCAGGGATATTGGTCAGATAACGGGTCCCCCTAATGCCTTACTGCTGGTCCTTCTCTTCTCACAGCAACTAAGAATTCTGTTTGGAGGGAGAGAAAATGTACTGCTTATGATCAACACTGTCCATGCCCACAAAAGCAACAGGTTCACAAAGTCTTAAGTGTCTTTGACAGAAACTTTTCCGAATCACCCATGGCTAGTGGCTATCCTAGGCCTAAAAGTGAAAGACACGGATTCTATCTCCTCAGTTTTATTTACAAGCCCTTGATTTATCAAGTGTGGTAAACCAGCAACTAAACCGACCTCCCTAGAATTTTCCACTCTTAAATGTAGAGTATGTGCATAGGAGTCTTAAATTTAAATTAGTGAAGAAATAGGCTGCTGACCAAGTAACTCCCTGATAGTGTGCCGCGGCACAGCTTGGCTCAAGCCTTGCAAATGCTCGATGAGAGAGAAAGTATCGATGAGACGTGAACGAATGGCATCAGCTCGGGGCAGCTGCATCTGCCCTTCTTGGTGGTAAGTGGTCATGTCTGCTAAGAAAATGTAAGCATCAAGCGTCATTTCGTTCTTGGAGTTGCACCAAAGATTACAGGTTTTCTGTCCCCTCCACCCCACCCTCTTTGCTCTTAAGATTCCTTAATGTACCCACATTTAGGAACCAGGAGCAGTTGGGAAGAACAAACATTGCACTAAGACTCGGGGTTTGTTGAAACAAAAGGGGCTAAGAGTGGTAAAGACATTGTGCAGTCGACCAAGTGGCCAGGCATCTTCACTTTGCGACGGCATTTCTAATTAAAAACAAAACAAAACAAAAACACCTCAATAAAAAAGCAGCAGCCACAAGGGTAGGGGACCGGGGCAGGACAAAGAAGAATCTGGGCCCCACCTGGGCCTGAGAGAATCGGGCAACGAGGTGGAGTTCAGGGAGGGCTTGGCCTGCCCACGAAAGAAACTAGGTGAGGATAAACTGGACAAAATGCAAAAGCCTGACATTTTGAAAATGGGTCCGGTCCCAGGTGTGTCCCCTCCAACACTCCTTCGGGGGCTAGCTCCTTCTCTCCTCCATTATCGCTTCAGGGCCTCACCTCAGCCCAGGTTCTCTTCGCCCACTCAGTCCCGACTTCACGCTTCCGCCTCCAGCTCAGGCGCCCCCTGGGCCCGGCTACCCCTGCGCAGGACGAGCTCAGGACCGGCTCCCAGCCTCACTGCGCCCCATTCCCCGCCCCGCCCGACCCCCAGGTTTCGTCTCACCCCAGGACCCGGCCCTAGCCCCTGACCCCTGCCTAGGACCGGGCCCAGCCACGCTCTCCCAGCCACTCGCCGCCTCGGCCCCGCCCCACACTCCGGTCACTCGGCGGTTATCGGCTGGTCCCGCCCGCCCGACGCAGGCGCCGCGCAGCCAATCGGCGGCTGCCACACAGCGGCCCGAGCCGGGCTTGGGGGTTGGGACCTCCGGCTGCAGGTCCGCCTGGGCCAGACGCGCGAGCGCAGGCAGCCGGTGTGTGGTCGGGCGCCCGACCTCCGCAGTCCCAGCTCAGCCGCGACCCTTCCGGCCGCCTCCACCCCACCTCGCCGCCATGCGTCTTCGCCGCCTTGCGCTATTCCCGGGCGTGGCGCTGCTTCTTACCGCGGCCAGCCTCGCCGCTGCCTCCGACGTGCTAGAACTCACGGACGACAACTTCGAGAGTCGCGTCTCCGACACGGGCTCTGCGGGCCTCATGCTCGTGGAGTTCTTCGCCCCCTGATGAGGCCACTCTGCCGGGACGGGGGAAGAAGGGCCGGGCTGGGCCGGGGGCGAGGGCGCGGGGAACTGTTGGGCCTACGCAGCGCCCGCGCCCTTCATTCCTGTGGGCCCCTGCTGCGGCGGGCACATTTCTCATTACCGGGGGCTGGAGGCGCCTCGCCGAGAGCTGCGGAATCGGTGCTGATCGGGAGAAGGAAAACCCGAAGGCTGCGCTCACGCAGGGCCGCATCCTCACCCTAGTGCTCTTGCGGCACTTCCTATTTGCAGAGGGTTTAGCCACCCCTTCCCCCAGTTCAGTGTGTAGCTATATCGTTTCTGCGTGAGTCAGTATTAACGTTCCTCCAGTCTACAGACTAGACATCCCAAAGCCTTGTAGTGGAAGCGGACGTTTCACCAAATGCACAAGTCCTGGATCCCTAGGGTATTTACTTTCCTCTTACCCCAAACTGCACAGCCATTGGTTTCTAGCCAAGGTCACTGAGTGGCTGCAGAATGGTCGTAACTACTTTCTTGAGTCAGGTAATTTGTCCGTCACATGGTGTACAATTTCTCCCTTCAGCTGATCACTTACATCTCAGTCTCGGCAGACACCTCTGTCCAAAAGAAAAGAGTAGGTGAACAAGAATAATTCCATCAGAATCTGTTCATATTGTCCGTTTTAATTAGAATTTCTTTAAAATGTCAGGACTCCAATGAGAAAGTAACCAATATTGATTAAATACTCCACTTTAGGGTGACTTAAATGAACACGGGTGTAAATTCCTTAGATAGAACTAACTCGAAATAAAAATATGTTGAGGAGAAGGAAGAGCAAATAAGATTTCTGGCCCAGTCAGCTTGAGTGGTTTTCTTTGTTTTGTGTGTGTGTGGGTTTTTTTTCTTTTTTAAACCTCCAGATCATTATCATAGTAAACAGTGATTCCTTTATCCTTGGGATAGCTCTATATATTCAATATATATAATTACACTACTTAATTTTTCCCCTCCTGGGGACCCTTGGTTTAAAACTATCCATGTTCAGAAATGTCAGTAAATGTTGTATGTAACTTTTATTTGCTTCAGACTCGGATCTTCACTTCTTAGCCTCATCCAACTTGCTGAGGGTTACACGGAAAAAGTCCTATAGTAAAGACCACCTGAATCAGAATGATGTGTTAGAGATGGCAAATTTTTGTGTTCAGCTTGGATAGATTTTGTGTCCAGGGCATTTCTGGGGCTAACTGGCAGTACAGATTACATATATAGATAATTCTTATACATCTCTGGAACTCATGTTCTCTCTTAGGAACAACTCTTCCCAATTATATAATCATGCTGTTAGCTTTGAGGGGGTGTCACTAAGTTTGTCAGGTCTGAGTGATGCTTTTTACTACAGGGGTCACGCAACAATTTAAAGTAGGAATTAGGCCGGGCGTGGTGGCTCACGCCTGTAATCCCAGTACTTTGGGAGGCTGAGGCGGGCGAATCACGAGGTCAGGAGATCAAGACCATACTGGCAAACACGGTGAAACCCCATCTCTACTAAAAATACAAAAAAAATTAGCCGGGCGTGGTGGCGGGCGCCTGTAGTCCCAGCTTCTAGGGAGGCTGAGGCAGGAGAATGGCGTGAACCCGGGAGGCAGCGGAGCTTGCAGTGAGCCGACATCTCGCCACTGCACTCCAGCCTGGGCAACAGAGCGAGACTCTGTCTCAAAAAAAATTAATAAAATAAAATAAAAAAATAAAGTAGGAATTGTTGGAGAATAGTGGGCCACTAGAATATTAGTTTAAAAAAGGAATTTTGGGGCCAGGCACGGTGGCTCCCGCCTGTAATCCCAGCACTTTGGAAGGTCAAGGCGGGCGGATCACCTGAGGTTGGGAGTTTGAGATCAGCCTGACCATCATGGAGAAACCCTGTCTTTATTAAAAATACAAAATTAGCCGGGCATAGTGGCACATCCCTGTAATCCCAGCTACTCAGGAGGCTGAGGCAGGAGAATAGCTTGAACCCAGGAGGCAGAGGCTGCAGTGAGCCAAGATCATACCATTGTACTCCAGCCTGGGCAATAAGAGTGACACTCTGTCTCAAAAAAACAAAAACCAAAACCAATTTTTTGTTTGAATTGAAGGGGGTCTTTCCTACTTGAAGTTGTTGCACGTGCTACCCTAAAAACTACATATCCCATCAGGCACTGACTATCCCAAGAATTGGGTAGATCTCTGCTGTGGTGTCTGTTTTTAATTGGTTTAAAAGAAAAAGTCATCCTCCGCGATGTCAGCAAGGAAGATGAGTTTTCTGAATGAGCAATTTGGAGTTAAAGAAGTCTCCTGGTGATGTCTTTATTTCTTCACATTCCACTATGGTTTTTTTGTTTTTGTTTTTGTTTTTGAGATGGAGTCTCACTTTGTTGCCCAGGCTAGAGTGCAATGGCCCCATCTCGACTCTCTACAACCTCTGCCTCTTGGGTTCAAGTGATTCTCCTGCCTCAGCCTCCCGAGTCGCTGAGATTACAGGTGCCCAGCTAATTTTTTTGTATTTTTAGTAGAGATGGGGTTTCACCATTTGGGCCAGACTTGTCTTGAACTCCTGACCTCAGGTAGTCCACCTGCCTCGGCCTCCCAAAGAGCTGGGATTACAGGAGTGAGCCACCGCACCCGGCCTTTTTAAAAATTTTATTTAAGACAGAGTCTTGCTCTGTTGCCCAGGCGGGAGTGCAGTGGCATGATCTGGGCTCACTGCAACCTCCACCTCCCAGGTTCAAGCAATTCTCCTGCCTCAGCCTCCTCAGTAGCTGGGATTACAGACACACACCACCAAGCCCAGCTAATTTTTGGATTTTAGTAGAGACAGGGTTTCACCATGTTAGGCTGGTGGCAAACTCCTGACCTCAGGTGATCCACCCTCCTCGGCCTCCCAAAGTGCTGGGATTACAGACATGCGCCACCTAGCCCAGCCTCGGTATTTTTATTTATTAACATTTCAGCTGGAAATGTTTTCTGACTGCTATATTCCTTTCTACAGTTCAGGAGTACTATCTTACAAGAAACAGTTAAAGAATCTTTAGTAAGGGTAAAATGGGCTGGGCTCCATGGCTCACGCCTGTAATCCCAGCACTTTGGGAGGCCGAGTCGGGCGGATCATGAGGTCGAGGGATCGAGACCATCCTGGCTAACACGGTGAAACCCTGTCTCTACTAAAAATATAAAAAATTACCTGGGCGTGGTGGTGGGCACCTATAGTCCCAGGTACTCAGGAGGCTGAGGCAGGAGAATGTCATGAACCTGGGAGACAGAGGTTGCAGTGAGCTGAGATCGCACCACTGCACTCCAGCCTGGGCGACAGAGCGAGACTCCATCTCAAAAAAAAAAAAAAGGAGTAAAATGGGGTCTGGCCCTGTGGTGCATGAAAAGAGATGGGCAAAGTCAATGTTATTCCTGCCAGATATACCCCAACTGGCCAAGGAAGCATGGAGAGTCCCTGAGAACCATCAGGAGAGTCCGTGGCTTTTGGAGTGTGGGGTATCCAAGACTCTTAGGAGACAGAACTCTTTAGAGGCCTTAGGGGAGTCTGTTTCTCTCACCTTCAGATTTCCTAAAACATCTACCTGCGAGGGCCTCAAGGTGAATCAAATCACCTCTCATGCTACCTATGGAGAGCTTTCAATGTCCCATGGAAAAATAAACAGAATCCCAGTAGGGTAAGCACCAACATTGTTCTCACACTTTCTAGGGGAAAAAAACAAGGATCCAGAGGTAAGGGGTGAAACTGCGGATCTAACATGAGATAGGGAGGTCAGGGAACTGGGAAGAAACAGCAGATTTCGGGTATCATGAATAAGAGAACCAGATTAAGGAGAAGGACATGGAATCTGAGAAGGGGTTCATGCAAATTTAAGATGTCGGTAGAAAGGCTAGAATACTTGGATGCAAACTGGAGGGCATGCAATACACATGAAGCTCAGCCCAGGAAAACCACATGCATGAACAGGATGGGGATGGAAGTTCTTTCTTGATCGTTTCCATCATATCAAAGCTTCACCCTTCTGATCTACTGGAAAACCCCAGACTTGCTAGGATCTTTGTACTTCATCAGAAAAATGAGGCAAATGCCCTAGAAAAAAGAAAAAGCACTGATTTTCTGCTCGAAACTCAAGAATTCCAATGTAGGTCTATCAGTATGGGTAGGGCCAAGGGTAAACATAAATATGTAACCCTAATACTAGGCACTGGTGATGGAAAAAATGTCCCCAATGGAGGATCAAGAAAAACACATCCCAACCACTTTCTCAGTCCCCAATCTTTCCTATGCCTCCTCAACATCTCCCTAAAGGGACTAAGGATATGCGGGACAACAATGTCTATGCAAGACAGCTTCCCATTCACCAGTGACTAAAGCCTGTAACTCAAAAGGGTTATAACCTGACCATCTTCTAAGCTCTGTCCTTTGTTTGCCCCAAGGATACAATTGAGGCTTCTGTGCCTCAATTTCCCCCATGATCTTGTGGCAGGAGGGCAGGAAAGTTACTGTCTCTAGCTCCTCAGAGTGGCTTGAAAAACATTTGGATTTGAAGATGGTGGCAGTAGAGGGTTAGAGTGATAAGAACAGATTCCAAGGCAAGAGATTACTCCTGTATTGAGCAGAATTGGGGGATGAGTAACATTAGGGGGTGGTGAGAAAGGAGAATAGGAAGGGATGAGCAGCCAATGCTACAGCTACCAGGCAGTCCGGCCCCAATCCCATCCAAGCCACTAAATGCAAGTTACATAACCTCAGGGCAAACAGGAGAAAGAAACAGGTGGGCTCTCCTGCCAGAAGTGCAATAAGCAAAGCAGTCAGTCCCAGCCAGGGTAGTGGCAACAGCCAGCTTGGTGGCAGGGGGTACCGTAGAGGCACTCAGGATCATCCTGGCCTGAGCGCAGCCAGTTCCGCAAGAGGCGCAGGTGGTAGGAGCACTTGTGCAGGTGATGCGCCAGCGTGGCATCCAAGGAGACTGGCCGGCCCCCTGTACAGTCAGAGGAAAAACTGCGCAGCAACCGGACCACAGGGTGCTGGTCATCCAGCAGCTCTGGAGGGGGTGAGGGGACCACGGCAGGAAGCACAAAGATAGAGAAAGAGAAGAGGGAGAGACAATGAGGGGGGCACTGACTAGCACAAGCATTACTGGGAGGTGGGGACACTCAGATCCAAGGTGAGCTAAGAGAGAAGCAGAGATGGTCAGAGCCACTGGGCATCTCTTGCAGGGAAGAAGAGTGGTGTCATCACACAACGAGTCTGAAAGAAGGGATAAGTGAGACCTCATCATACAGCAATGTCCTCCCCTTCCTCCTTGAGCATAATTGAGTCGGTGCTTGTAGACAGCAGTCACATCGTTGTGAACAGGGGTGAGCTGGCAGTTTTGTGGCTGGGAGGCTTGACTACAGCTTCAAGATCCCTCATCATTGGATGAACCCTACTTAGGGCCTGCATTCTCAGGTGAATGGATTTATGAAGTAGGGATGAAAATGAAAAGTTCAAAGTCACTCAGAGAAGAGTGTCAAGGATGGTACTGGTATCAAGACAGTCAAGCTAAAAAGGTTCTTTTTTAGGGCAGGTCTTCTGGACCACACTCTAAGATAGCCAAAGACAGGGATGGTATTAGGCAGCTGGCACAGGAGACTGACAGGAAACCAGATGTAGAACTCGTTTAAAACGATATGTGTGGAAAATGGAATCAATATGTGAAAATACCAATACTGACAAACTATCCTTGACCTTACTGTTGTTTAAACAATCACTTAAAAAAAAAAAGTACACATAAAACTCAGGACTTAGAGATACTGTATCCATTACGAAGCTGAAAGTTAGATAAAATTTTACATTTTCTTCCCACTGCTGGTGAGTCTAACTGCACGTTTTTCAGCTGGTGAGTAGAAAAGCTTTGATTCTGAACCCCTCATTTTAGCTACTTGGCAAACTTTGTGGATGCATGTAATTGAGCTACAAAAGGTTGAAAGCAGTCAAAGGCATGCGGAGCCGGGTGTAAGAGGAACAACAGGGAAAGATCTTAGAGAAAAGGTATGGGATCTTAAGACATGATGTGAGGATGGACAAGAACTTGAGTACAGGATGTTGGTATAGAGAAGGTAGAATCAAGGCAGCTGAGGATGACTGCTCAAAACTCCCAGACCAGAACTGGCTCCACAAGGTGATCCCATGAGACTGTGGTCTTCAGAGACCTTAGCTTGGATGTCAGGACAGATTTCAGCTCTACCTAGGCTAGTCTTGTGAGCACTGACTGTATGTACCAACGGTCACATAGTTACATGGGTCCCTAGAAGATAATGGGCTTGACAAATCCAGTGGTCACACGCTGACATTCGGGGTAAGCGTGAGCCACAGTCTTTCCCACTTTATTAATTTACTTTGGTGAGTTCAGTGTGCAGTTTAGTAACAGGCTATACTTGTGTGCTGGATATAGTTACAGGATATAACAGCAGCTTATCAGGGACAGAGGCAGGGATAGGCTGAGGCCTGCTCTCCCATCAAAGTGTGAAGACACACTGCCTTGCCTCTTTTCCAAAGCCAGGTCCAGTATGTCTAGCTGCTGTTTCAAAGCCAGATATCATGGCAAGGAGATGGTGATGACAGAGCTGCTGTGACTTATCTGCAACTACAGACAAAACATCCACTTTGTAATTGCTGGTCAGTCAAGCAAGATCTTGGCCATGGAGGAGAGCCTTCATATTTCTTAAGGGTCAAATTGAATCTACATAATCTTCCTCAGCAAGTGACATACAGTTCCAAATTTCTGCTGTTGTCAACAGGTAGAACCCAGATTCTGGCTTCTTAAGCATATTAGCCTCCAAGCTCCAGCACAAGAAAAACAAAGGAGGCCACAAGACCCCTGAGGAAGTGTGCAGGGTATTGGAGATCTTCAATTTGTTTTCCTGCACAATACCTGCATTATCCAGCTCTTTTTTCCTCACCTTTTGGCAGAATTAAATCTTCTTCAATGGGTGAGGCTGCTAAACAGGGCTTCGGGGAGCTGGAGGTACATAGGTCTGAGGGTCTGTTTTATGGACTTGGGTCTTTTCTTATGGCACCTAAGAACTAGGAGATATGTGATTTAGCTCTGATTTGAGTAGCCCACGTTCCTCGTACTATACTGTGGACCCTAAGTCCAAGTCCCAGGCTGTGCTATTGATGCATCAGGTTCTATTCTGGAGATGGCTGTGGCACATGAAGGACAGAAGAGCTTGAAGCTCAATGAGCGGGCACACCCATGAGGCTCTGAATGGGAACTCCTACCACAGGCACAACTGGGAGCCTGGGGGCAGGGATAAACTGAGCCAGCATAGGCTAGTCAACCTAGGGAGAGATTTCAGCAGTGCCTTGTGAAGATGTACAACCTGACTGGGCTAAAATCTAGCAGCTGTCACTTGCTAGGCAATAGGAGATTAGCACATAGAGGTTTTCTAGTCTCATTTTACTTCCCTCAGAGAGTCTTAGCTCTTGAATAGAAGAAAACCATGCCTAAAAAACTAGATTTACCTTGAAGACAAAATATAATACAGAGAGAAAAATAAGGATACCAAGGATAAAACTTTGAAAGAGAGTGAGCCTCGGTTCTCCTGCTATACCCTACAAAGACACCATACCCCTCAATTTATGGTTTACAGAGATCTCCAGGCCCTCCTACCGCAGTGTGGGCAGACCCGGTTCTTCAATGTTCTTAAAATATTATTCATTCCTAAGCTCCCCCAGAATCCCCAGCAGACATCTCAACTCTTCAAACTTCTCTGCGATAGCTTTACCATAGGTAGGCTGGTGCCACATGGAAACTACACTTAAAAACTCAAGGTACGGTCCTTTTTCTTTTACCTACTACCTCCTACTCCTTTCTTTTTATTTTTTATCCCAAAGCAACCTGGGCTCTTGTTTTCTAGGCCCAGGCACTAGGTTAGTAGTAACATAAAGCAAATGTCAGGAGCACAAGAGCCACACAAAATACACATAATGGCAGGAGAAAGAAATATGGAGATGGGAAACTATATACTCAAGACTAACATCCATATAAGTAGGCTTAGGAGCTGGGAACTGCAGTGTTGCTCCAAAAGAGGAACAAACTAGTCATCCACATCCACCCCAACAAAAGAGTTGGAGAAAAAACAGAAAGATCAAAGTTATATAAGCTGAGGAATTGGGGGTATGGGGGAAGAGAAGAAATGGAATCAATCTAGGAAACACTATTCCCATTCTAAGAAGGGGAACCATCATATCTGTACACAGCCTGGCAGTCATGTGATAGGAAAGGGAGAGGTTTTGATGGTGTTTTGGTGGTGATGCTGACAAAACTGATGACGGTGATTATGGAAGTAAGACCCTGAGTTGCCACAGGGATGGGGAAGCCAAGCTGCAGCCAAGACTAAGGCTGTCACAAGGAAACCATCCCAGGAGGGACACTTAGTGAGTGGCTCAGAGACAGCAGGGTGTCAACTCAGTGGAAGGAGAGGCAAAGTCAGTGTCAAAACTCAGAGTCAAGTGTCTAGAGGTGACATGATGAGGAGGAATGACACTGAGTCAGAAGCAAACGTACTGTTAGTCGGATGCTTTGCAAACGATACAGAAAATTGTTTTACGGTCGGGACAAACAAGAGTTCTGGGGAGAAAAGACATCATGGGGATTATACCCACCCTTGTCCCCACCCTCTGCTCTGGAGTTTGCCCACGAGATAGTCTGTCATTTTATTTTATTTTATTTATTTATTTATTTTGAGACGGAGTCTCACTCTGTCGCCCAGGCTGGAGTGCAGTGGTGCGATCTCGGCTCACTGCAAGCTTCGCCTCCCAGGTTCATGCCATTCTCCTGCCTAAGCCTCCCGAGAAGCTGGGACTACAGGCGCCCGCCACCACGCTCAGCTAATTTTTTGTATTTTTAGTAGAGACAGGGTTTCACCGTGACAGCCAGAATGGTCTCGATCTCCTGACCTCGTGATCCACCCACCTCGGCCTACCAAAGTGCTGGGATTACAGGCATAAGCCACCGCGCCTGGCCAGATATTCTTTACTTTAAAGTTAGTTATCTGACCTGCTCCCCTCCCCATCTCTTGGATTTCTAACTAACACATGTCAATCTCTTTTCCTTTGGTAAATCTCTTAGGAATCTATGTGTCATCTCTACTACAATACACCCCTACAAACAACCCTAATTTTACCACTGTGTCCTCTTTCTGGTCATTTGGAAATAAAATCTTCATAGAAATATTATCCCTTCCCACAGTGTCTTTCCATATTATCATTTCTGCCTTAGCTGAGCAACATTCCCTTCCCTAAACCCAATTTGCTGGATTTTAATTGAGGTTCCACTACATTCTTCCCAACCATGCATCATCCTCCTTGGTCCTTACCCCTACAAGACAGAATCTAGGAAAGAGTACAAACTGATGCAGCAGGACTGTATGTGGGAGATTATGAAGGGATAAGCATAAAAAAGTAGTATTTTTATGGCAAGAGGGAATGCAAATGGAGGGGTAGAAGGGGTCCTGGTTCTTTCTCCCATCTATTACTGATGAAGAAAACTTGTTATAAGGCCAGTGTCATCTTTTTTTTTTTTGAGACTGAGTCCGCTTCTGTCGCCCAGGCCTGGAGGTGCAGTGTGGCGGATCTCAGCCTCAACTGCAAGCCCACCTCCCGGATACTTTCTGCTTCTCCTGGCCTCAGCCTCCCGAGTAGCTGGGACTACAGGCGCCGCGCACCTCGCCCGGTCTAGTTTTTTTGGATATTTTTTTAACAGTGGATGACGGGGTTTCACCTATGAGTCCCGGAATGGTCTTGATCTCCCAACCTTCGTTGTATCCACCCGTCCTCGGCCTACCCAAAGTTGCGGGATTATCAGGCTTTGAGTCCACCGCGCCCGGCCCTTTTTTTTTTTTTTTGAGACTGAGTCTCACTCTCGTCCTCCCAGCGCTGGAGAGTACCTAGTGACTACAATCTCAGCTCACTGCGCCTCCGCCTCCCCACACGCGATCTCTGCGCTTCGCCAGCCTCCAAGAGCTGCTGGATTACAGGTGCACCGCCAGCACACCCAAGCTAATTTTTTCTATTTTAGTACAGAGACGGGGTTTCACCATGTTGGTCAGGCTTAACTTGAACCCTGACTTAGGTGATCCGCCTGCCTCGGCTCTCTCCCAAAGTGCTGGGATTACAGGCATTGAGCCACCGCGCCCCAGGCCAGTGTCTTCTTAAGTATGAATAGGTCTTGAGCTATGTCCTTGCTGAGAGACAAGTGAAAAAAGGAGTTATCCCCCAAAACCCACCCACATACCATTCTCGGTGCTTTCAGGACGTGGCAGGTGGTAGCTCTTTGCCATGGCTGTGGGCGTAGTCCTGAAGATTCGGGGCGTGGAGGAGCCACCCAGCACTTGTGTGCTGAACAGCCCTGTGCACTGTGAGCCTGCAAGCTGGGAGTGTGTTGAGTAGTCCATGTAAAGCCACAACTATCACACAGAACTATACACAACTTCACATGATAAACAGCAAGACACACACAGCCATTCAGAGCCACCACCATGTGGCCATTCCACATAACCACAAATGGCTTTTACACTTCTGCATAGTCACAGTGGGCAAGCAAAGGGGGATTCTTCTGAAGACGGCTACATGGCAGAGACAAGAGGCCACTACAAATGCAGGGTCAAGTGCATTGTTATGGAATTCACACACACAGAAAGGGATCTAGATGCGCTGCTCTCCAGGGGGCTTTCAGACACATGCTCAAAATTAATAGGACGGCTTCCTCTAGATTCCCCTAGATTTAAATTGGACACCCTTTACCTGCGCACTAATACTGCCTTTAAGAAACTCAGAAATCTAGTCCTTGTAGGTTTGAAAGGAAAAGCCTTTGACTGAAGCTAGAGACTGATTCTGAACACTCAGCTGGCACCCTTCCGATCCTTCCTAAGCTTTTCATCCAACATCCCCTCCCTTCAGGCCTTTTTACCTTTCCCAAGAATGAAAGTATGAGGCTCATAATTTTTTTCTTTTTTTAAGACAGGATCTAACTCTGTTGCCCAGGCCGGAGTGCAGTGGCACAATCATAGCACGCTGCAGCCTTTGTCTCCCAGGCTCAAGTGATCCTCCCACCTCAGCTTCCCAAGTAGATGAGATTGCCAGCACATGCCACCTTGCCTGGACAATTTTTTTATTTTTTGTAGAAACGAGGTCTCACTATGTTGCCCAGTTGGTCTCTAACTCCTGAGCTCAAGTGACCCTCCCACCTTGGCCTCCCATAATGCTGGGATTAAAGGTGTGAGCCACAACCCCCCGCCTCATTGAATGTTTTAAGCTAGAAGGGACTCAGAGATCATCCAGTTCAACTTTCTTATTTTAGAGATGAAGAAACTGAGATCCAAAAGGGACCTCCTTTGCTCAAAGTCACACAGTTCTTTAGCAGCTAAGCTGGACTAGAATCCAGGTCTCCTGACTCTGAGGACCAACTGTATTGTTAGAAAATAAATAACTATTTTTCAGGAACCAGCACAGTTTCTGAAATTAACATGGACAGAAATTGAAGGGCATGTGAAGAATCAGTTGATTATATGTAAAGCATGCCTATTATGTGATGAGCACCCTACTAAGAAGGAATACAGGAAATAACAACAAAAAGATATGTTTTTTCTGCTCTCAAAAGTGTATTATCTCATAAGCCTATGCTCAAAGCCAGTTGCCCACACATATAAATTCAAAGAAAGCAAAGAGAACTCCGTTGCCAATGAGAGGATTAAATAAAATTTGAATATCCTCTGAAGTATGGAATAAATCAGACCAGTCACTGTTTCCAACAGCTGATCTAGAGGAGGGTTAGGATTCGATGGTTCCTTCTCCTACTACAGCCTATAAGGACAGAGTGGTCAAGAAGAAACAAGACTGACACCCAAGTTCTCAGGATTTGCCTCCCTATTTCCAAATCCATCTTAGCCAAGACCCTGGATTTGGCTTGTGACTTAACATTCATAGGGTTTCCCTATGGATGGAGTGGAAAGGAGTTCAATTCCCTTGAGGCCACCAAGAAGGGACCATGGTTTCAGGGGTCCCAGGATTTCGGGGTCACCAGAGCAATCAGGAAGTTCAGATGGCTGATGATTCCAACCCAGGAATTCAGGACCTCTCCTCTATACAGCAACTTCCTCCACCTTTCATGTTCAAACAGGCTCTGGAATGAGATTCCAGAGAGAAATAACAGTTGCTAAATATGACTGCTTTTCTTCAGCGAAGCTAAAACTAGCTGGCTCTATCCCAGACCACCCTAAGTTTTGTCCTACAAACATTTCCTCCACTGAATACTTTTCTGGTGCAGTCGTGCCAACTCTGTTCTGCCCAGTCCTCAGATCATCTCAGAGGGTGGTCTCTACCTTACCACCACCATCTGCCAACCAGTTCCATACTTCTGCCTTGTTCTTTAAAGCATTCACGTGGCCCACTTAACTGGGCCAGACACACCTATCCTCTTTTCTAGTCTGTCTGGAACCTATTCTTTACTGGGACTTCTGGGAAGAGAGGCCCATGTCATAGATCTACACTATTGTTGTTTTGTTTTTTGGTTTTTGGTTTTTTCTTTTTCTTTTTTTTTTTTTTTTTGAGACAGAGTGTCACTCTGGCACCCAGGCTAGAGTACGCTGGCACAATCTCAGCTCACTGCAACTTCCATCTTCTGGGTTCAAGAAATTCTCGTGTCTCAACCTCCCAGTAGCTGGGATTACAGGCATGCGTCACCATGCTCAGCTAATTTTTGTATTTTAAGTAGAGATGGGGTCTCACTATGTTGGCCAGGCCAGTCTCGGAACTCCTGACCTCAAGTGATCTGCCTTCCTCGGCCTCCCAAAGTGCTGGAATTATAGGCACGAGCCACTGCGCCTGGCCAGATCTACATACTTGTCATTTATTTCTCATGCCCCAAACCATCTTTCTCATTTCAGGAATCTAGAAGGCAACTTATTCTCATAAAATTAGCCTGGAAAGTTACCAAAACCTTTCTCCCTCTTGCTAGTCCAAAAGCTGACCATTTTGGGGCCAAGAAAATGAGTGCCAAGGACGAAGCAACAGAAAAATTAGAGGTGCTAAATAGGATGATAGGACAAGATAGAAAGAGCAAGGGGACCAAGTCCAGACCCCACACAATCATGTCTGACCTCCAGTTCTAGTTACTGGCTCACAAGGCACTGTGCTCAGAGATAGTTCCTCCCAAGGACCGCCCCCCACCCAAAGAATACAATACCCTCTGAGGCTTGGTCCTTCCTGCCGTCTGTGCTCTCACAAAAAGTTGAATGATATTCTCTACCCCTTTCCAGGGATCCAAAAATCAAGAGACATTTCCTCAAAGTCCTGAGAGATGCCTCTGCCACTACACCAGTCTCAGACTTGTCAATTTTCCAGAAGGAAGGGGAAAAAGTTACAGGATTAGGTGATGATGGAGGAAAGGGCATGGTGGTAGGAAGGGTAACAGCGGGGATGTGAAAAACACAGGTTTCAGAGGAAGACATGGCACAATTCTTCAAATGAGGAATACATTTACGAGGGTTGCAAGTACCTCTATTTATAGCTCTGTCTCTGATAACTCTGAAGGCTCAGAGTCTCCATGGCCCCTTAAGGTCTGGGCTAGACTGGAGGGACAGATAAGGAATGAGAGGGAAAGCCAGAAAAATGCCCTTTGGCCAGGGAAATGTGATTGGTATAGAAAACCAAGAGATAAACACCTTTCTGGGATGGAATAATCATCTGAGATCCAAGTTCACATCTAACTATGGCTTCTCCCACTTCATCCTCCCTACCCCTACCTGATGATATTCCACTGACTGGATGGTTCCAAACCCCATGACAAAGGTTTCCCACAATACAACTCTGAAGAACAGACAGACAGCTTTTCCAACAATAGGTGAGAAATGCTGGCGAAGCCATACCTAAGCCACTTTGCTTCATTTCTGTGGGTGGCCGTGAAGATGAAAAGAGCCGGTAGCCATCAGGCCTTAAGGATGAAGTCTCAGAAAGTACCTGCAGAAAAAGGACTCTATAATTAATCATTTTGCCACCTCAACCCTAAAGTTTTACACTTATTCTGGATTCCTGTCCCTACAAAACTAATCAATATTAGAAAGTTTGCAAGAACCAAAGGATTTATAGGAGAAGAGGGATGAAAAGGGAAGAGAAAATGCACTTTATGGAGGGAACTGTCTGGGGCATCTTTCTATACTAGAATCCACTTCTATTTTCAAGATCGCTTTCCCCAGAGCCCTCCCATTCCCAATCTGAGTTTGAGAAATCATTATTCGACCCATTCCTAGTTCTCAGCAGAGCGGTTTCCTAATCGTATCCATCCCCCCACAAGACTCAGAAAGCCAATCACAATGGCTCAGCCACAAATAAGAAAGTCTGGCCACCCTCTCTTCTTTCCATGGGACAGCTGTGGCTACTGCAACCATACTACATTTCTTGTTCGAACCAAGCAGCCCTCCCCTCCAACTATCTCACCCCTAGAAACATAAAACAGAATTCTTACAATGCCCACAAGGGCCCAATCACACAACCCCCAATACACACACATCCCACCTAGATAGTGTCTGAGTCCCTAGATCCCAAAAGGCAAAGACAGAAGGTAAAACAGGAAGGTGAGGTAGGGAGGGACACCTGTGTGCAGGATGCCAGGTGAGTGGTGGACACAGCCCAGGGCTGTAGGCTGATGGCTGGGGAAGGCCAGGGGAGGTCTCCCGACCTCCTGCGGCGTCGTCCCCGCAAGGGGATGAGGTCCAGGTTCCCCGTGCACTGCATGTTCATGACCTGCAATCAGACCGGGTGGAAAGCCGGTCATGGCTCCTTTAAACCCCAGGATCCCAAAAGTCCCAGTGCCCATAGGGCAGAGCTAATTACAGGGCTAGAGAGGATGACCAGCTAGGGCATAGCTGCTATGAAGGTCATAAGTTTTATAATCTAAAATAGTTAAAAAGTATGAGATGACAAGAGGAGAAGAAGGGATGGAGGGAAGGACAAGTTGTATGCCTATATTTATAGAGCAAGGAAGATAAATATTAATATTAGTATTACAAGACTTTGTGACCAAGGAGCAGAGAGATGATTTTCTTGCAAAGCTGAGGAAAATATCCTGGACAACCATCACCCTGGATAAGCCAGGGTCTAAGCAGCACTAGTAATTGGAATGTGATTACAATAGGAAGCTTCCTATAGGCCTGAAAGAAAGAAGTCAATCTTATCAAGTCTGAGAGATGATATACTGAGAGCTTTCCTTTGCCTGTGCCTGGTTTTTTTTTTAATTTTTTATTTTTTTTTTTAATTTTTTTGTAGAGACAGGATCTTGCCCTGTTGCCCAGGCTGGTTTTGAACTCCTGACCTCAAATGATTATCCCTCTTAGGCCTCCCAAAGTGTTGGGATTCATCCTCCCAGGAATTCAGGGTCTTGTCCCACTCCGGGGCTGACCTGTTATAGCTTCCTTTCAACTATATATTGTCTCTTCAGGATCCTCATTCCCTCATCTCTACCATTTGTGATTTCGCCATTGCACGTGACTTTTGAATTTCCAGCTTTACAACCCTTCCCATCACCTTCCACAATAACTCAGTTTGGCTATGGTGCATATAGCACATTTAAAGGTATCTTCTGGGCCGGGAGCAGTGGCTCACACCTGTAATCCTAGCACTTGGGAGACTGGAGCAGGCAGATTACTTGAGTCCATGAGTTCAAGACCAGCCTGGGCGACATGTTGAGACCCTATCTCCACAAAAAATACAAAAAATTAGCCAGGCATGGTGGCACATGTCTGTCATCACAGCTATTCGGGAGGTTGATGTGAGAGGATCACTTGAGCCCAGGAGGCAGAGGTTACAAGGCTGCAGTGAGCTCAGATTGCAGCCCCGTACTCCAGCCTGGGTGACAGAGTGAGACCTTGTCTCAAAAAAAAAAAAAAAAAGTATCATTGTGGAGCCATATGCAGAAGGTATATGTATAACCATGTTTAAGGAAATAAGACTTATAACATTGTCCCAAATTCCATACTCTTCCTAATGCCAGAGCTGTGTTCTAGGTGATCTCTCTGGCTCAGCAACATCCCAGAACATATTTTCTGTTCCAGTAAGAACCTCCTGGATGCTCTGTGTCATGCTGTGCCTAAGTGCCACACCTAGCTGGATTCTCCAAATTATAAGGATAAGCGAGTTTTTTTTTTAATAGAAATCAAAAGAAGGGGCCTTCCTCTCATCCCCCACCTGCTGGCTCCTCACCTGTGTGTTGTCCTCATAAAGCATGATGACAATCTGGGCCATGTAGTTAAGCTCTGAGATGGCACTAAGATAATCCAAAGCTCGCTGCCATTGTGCATCCTGGGTCTCCTACCAAATGCAAAAAGAGGTAAGCCATTG